GCGGCTCCCGTCGCGCCTCCACCCTCAAGCCACAGAAGCCCGCGGAAGCTGAAGCAGGAGCAGCAGCAGGGCCAGGACAAAGGAGGTGCCGTTGCGCAGGCACCGCTTGCAACGGGTCCGTCCATCGCCGCGCAGCTAGGGGGCGCCGTGGAAGCCGGCAAGCTGCCCATCATGCTGCCGGAGAAGCTCAATCGAAACAAGGTGCGCGGCGGCGCGGCGGCGAGGCTGGTGGAATTGCATTTGACGAAGTGCCGGTTACATATTGGCAGGTGCCTGTCAATCGCTGTCTCAGGGACATGTTCCCAAACTGCTCCCGCATCCTTGCCATCCGCTGTAGGTGCTTCTAGAGCTGCCGCCGGCGGCCATGTCCGGAGAGCACTACCACGGGGCCGCGGACCTCAGCGGCGACTCCGGGGCGGTGGGGCGGCTGGTGGTGGGGAAAGCGCCAGCAGCCAACAGCAAGGGCACGGCCGCGGCAGCAGCAGCAGCAGCAGCAGGTACGGTGGTCCCGAAGGTTAAAGGGTCTGCGTGCCGGCAATTTGGATAATGACGACGCTGGAGGGAGGAGGGGGATCATATGATGCAACAAGAAGAAAGGAACCAACTTCTGACGGAAGGAGGCGGTGTGGAAAGGTTTTTGGGGAAGTAGGTAGCGCTGTGCCGCGTCGGGGATGTGGTTGGTAACTGATGCCTGTTAGCGGCCTCGTGCAATACGTATGTCGAGGCTCTGCTTAAGGGGGAGTGGGGGAATTATTAAAAGTGGGAGAAGGGCGGGAGGGAGGAAGCATGGAGTGCGGTTCTTGGGGTAGTGATGGGCTAGTAGTCACTAGTAGTAAAACTGTCAGCTCATCCACACTTGCCTGTCGCTGTATGGGGCTAGGATTACGGAGGACGGGTTCGGGGTGGTGGCGGTGGCCGCATTTGCTGGCGTATCACGCTCGCTGTGTTCCGAGCCGTTGGCTTCTCGTGTTGGCCGTGCCCCTTCCCTACGCGTCCCCCTTGCCCTGCCCTGCTCCTCTGACCCCGTGTAGGCGGTTCCGAGGGCGGCGGTAGTGGTGGCGATAGTGTACAGCTGCAAGTGGACCTCAAGGGGCTGCTGTACAACGCCTGGGTGCTGCCACTGGCGGGCACCGCAATGGTGCTCAACATAGGGCCCTCTGAAGCCAAGGTGGTCGGGCCTTGTGTCTAGGGAGACAGAAGAGATAGAAGGGACGGGAGTAGAAGGGAATATCTGTGTGTTGCCAGCCAGCCAGCCAGGCAGCCGATCTTGCAGTCAGGTATCCGTTCAGCCAGCCACACCAGGGAAGGTGGGTGTTCTAATGATTTGAAGCGGACGCTCCGTGGGACACGTTCTGTGTATGATGGCCTGATCGGGCCTGACCCTGGCCCTTGGCCAAGGGCAACTACCGGACCTGTGCACGTGGGGCCCAGTCAAGCCCAGGCTATAAAACCTCCGGAGTCAATACCGGTTTCCAAGGTTTTTGTGCAAATTGATTGATTGCTGGTTGCTCAGTCTAATTGTGGTGAGGATTTTCGCGGTGCAGCCTGGCGCAACGTGACGTGAGGCGCGCTTGATGAACCACCGGTTCTTGCACATGTAGGTGGAGTCGCTCTTCAATGACTTTATTCGGTTGCGGGAGGTGGTTGACCCGTACGACGATGATGACGTGGACGGTGGCGGTGGCGCTGGGCTTGCGTACCTGCTGGATGGCGACGATGAGAACTATCAAGTCGGGGGTGAGTGCCGGGGAAGGGGCCCCGCCCCAAAACCCACATGCAACCATGTGTGGATCGGTGTAATAATGGTGGTCTAGTATTCGTGCTTTTTTGCACCATGGTATGCGGGGTTTCCCGCGCTGCTGTATGATGTGACACCATGTGGTAGTGTCCGCGCTCATCATGGTTCGCTCTTCGCAGGCGGCGGTGGGGACGGTGACGACGCACCCAGGCCGAGTGGCAAGGGCGGCAAGGGACCCAGAGAGCGGCCAGAGAAGAAGGCCAAGACCAGCAAGAAGGCAGGGGGGGGAGCGACGGCAGGGCCTAAGGCCGGGAAGAAGAAGGGCGCTGCAAAGCCTAGGAAGACGGCGACCGAGGCCGGCAAGGGCGCGCAAGGTAAGAACGCCGCAGCGCCGAAAAAGGCGGCGGCACCGAAGAAGGCAACGGCTGCACCGAAAAAGACAACAACCGACAAGGCGTCGCTGGCAAAGGACGCGAAGGCGAAGGAGACGGCAGCGGCGAACAAGGGTTTGGGGACCAAAGCTGGCGGTGTAAGCAAGAAGGCGGCCGGCAGCAAGAAACAAATGACGTTGACCACTTTTGCTGCAGCTGCGAAGCCAAGTTGAGACGTGCGCGTTGAGAAGTGGGGACGGAGGCGTCTGTAGAAGCAGTAATATATATGAGGAGGGTTCACGATGGTGAGTATCTCTTATGGGCTGGCTGGTAAGCTGGCAAGTGTTCACTTCTGTTGACGTTGGTGCACCTTCTGTGCTTGCGTTTCTGGGTACTTGAAACTCACGTGCTCGGGTGCTGCCGCAGCGTTTGTCGCAACGTTTTCGAACGACAAACGCACGGCCTGCTATGGGGATGTCGTGGGACACGGAGGACCGGTGATAATTGGATCAATTTGTGAACTCACGAAGACATGGACCGAGAGATGCTCTGTAGAGCGGTCTCTGTGTGACGAAGGATTGGGTCGCCGGTCAGTCACGGGGTGGTAGTGTTCGGTGCCTCTTGTCCTCGGCGGCTCCCAAGGCAAGTAGTCCCTCCCACAAGTAGTCGCATGCCTAGAAGGGAAACATATTACGCGCACGTGTGTACCCATATGTATATCCATTTTAGACATCAGTCATCATTATTCGGGTTCGTGAGTGGAGAAATCCCGCATGGCACACGGCCTCAAGCCCCAGAGAGACAGCCCAGAGGGCCTTTTCCCGGGAGTCGACAAGCTTACACATCACGTCCTGCACTATCTTTTGCCGAGCAGAGTAGCAAGACGCCGCTTCAGAGATGCCCTTCTTTGCAACCAACTCCCTCCCGTCTTTAAAGCTTAACGGCTGCTGCCTCAAGCATTGCTCTGAACACCGCGCCACCAGGTTCCTCAGTTCCTCTTCTTCCACAGCCGCCTCGGCACACACCATACGGCCCGGCGGACTGGCACTCGCTCGGATACACATTCGGACAAGGCCTCCTCCCGCCCTTCAACTTTTACATTGTGCTGTGACCCTGTGTGCGCCGACATGACGACCGCCTCGAGACAGCGGAGATCGAAACAAGTCGGGTGTCGGCTTCCTCGAAGCCGGAAAAAGGGCGGGCCCCCCCTGCATCCGTACAGGCCGGTAGCTAGCGCGGCACGTGTGACAATTGATGGGTAGTGTCAACGCGGTGGGAGATGTGCTTTGCTGCAGCAGTGCTGATGGTGTGAGAGCTAAGCTTGCACCGGCGGAATTGTCAGCACCGCCTGCGGGCACCACGCGAATCGCATCCATCCCGGGTGCATGCCGCATGGACAGTGCGGCAGACCGCAAGTCGGAATGCCCGTGCGGGCAAACGGTAACGCAAGCTGGGTGTTCAAGTTATCATACGCCGTCATCTAAGAATTCAAATATGAGATACGCGGTACCTTTTGAGATAAAATTTAGCCCGAGAGGCGTTGATGTGACTTTGGCCTCGGTAATTGAGGCAGCCAAAGTTGTTTGTGCTCATATGATTTTTGTTGGCTACAGGCGAGATACCTTGCGATAGAGAATAATATATAGTAGCTATAACGCGTTTCAGCCGGGCGAGATGTTATGTTTGGTCCGTTACACGCACACGCACACACACACGGACATGGGCAATCCTACAGGTCGGGGCCCCCTGGGGCGCTTCGAGCTGGGGCCCCGCCCAAAAATGGCCTCAATGCGCCTCCCAGAGAAGCACGGTACAAGGGCTGTGCAGAGCATCATCGTTCGCACCCCATAAACCCCCTTGTCAGCCATCGCCGTCTCCCAACGACTTCGGCGACAGTCCCAAAACATGTGTAGGGAAAACTGCAGGGAAAACGCATCGCCGCCGTCATTCCGTCAGGGTAAGAGGAAGCAGCAAGCCAGGCAGCTTCTTTCCAGGCTGCTTTCCACCCTGTCCTCCACTGCCCAGATCCCTCCACATGTCCTGCATTTCGTTTGCTTCGTTCGTTCTGATGAAGATACGCTGCCTGGTTCTCCCCCTACCTGGTCTCACTTGCCCCGAATGCCTGCCTACATCTGTACTACTATTACTAGTACTACTAGTAAGCGCATNAATGAGGAGAAAGGAGCCAAAACACGCTCCCCCTCTCCCTATCAA